AGCAAATAAGATGCTTCATGCAATCCAGACATCACCCTTTAGCACAAAACACAGAGCTACTGGTGAGGAAACCCCCCACACACAGATTTACTGCCATGGCTATCACAAATGTACACCATCCTTCTCTCCATGCAGCACCACCAGGCACACAACTGAGGCCTGAAATGTTGCCAAAAGAGCACATTACAATGGCATTATTGCAAATCCCTTTGTGCTCAAAAGTATTAATCTGAATATATGCCACACTGTACAGTGATACTGATGTCTCAGATATGGAGCACAGAGCAAATCACTCCATTTGTTGAAACAGTTTGTAATATGCACAAATGATGGTGAATGTTAGGTAGTGTTCTTTTATGACAAGATATTATTTCAATAATTATGATTTTTTTTCAGAATATTTCATAATTCTTCTAAATAAATATCACATCATATAAATAGTCAGTTCCCCTAGATTTACACTCAGATGCGAGACTTCAGGAGCCAGAAATGGACCTCAGTGATCATAGCTGACAAGACAGCAGGCAATGCTCTCCCGTTAAATCTGCCCTGGTGGATCTGGACCCAGGCTGTACAAATGACATTTTCAGCGGTGTTCAAACTTAATAGATGGAATTGGCTACATGAGACAAAACAGCTCTCAGGACACTTTTCTGTCATGATCAGCACTAACCCCAGTGGCTGGAATCTTCTGGAATATTTTGACTTATCAAAACTGAGTAAGTCTGCCAAGTTAAAAATTTAAAATCCGTCTAGAGCTTTCAACTGCATCATTCTTTTCAGGTTCATAATACACCAACATGGCAAGTTGAATATTTACTGCTACGGCTGGGATGAAATACAAAATTTCAGTGATTGATGAGGCAGTCTAAATGCACAGTTTGCAAAATGCCTTGAGAGGAAACATAATACATGTACTTAAAAGATCCAAGCAATGGTTAAATAACAAATATTGGAGTGTTCATTTAACATCATACCTAGAATATCAAGTGATAGACAGGCAGGAAAGAAAATGAACATAAATGATATCCCTCAGCCAGGATATAATATTTCTCTGTTAAGTATTCTAACTAGCACACCAGTACCTGTTAGGCACATAGCATGTGCCAAATCCTAATTACCTCAAGTGATTTGGGGACATTCAAGTTTAGCAGTTGATTTTCAGTACCACTTATGCAACAAACTCTTGCAAATTTAATGTCAAATATCTTTAAATTTTCAACTGTTAGATTAATAAGGGACTGCAAATCAAATAAACAGTAGGAAAGGAAAAGATAGGCCAAAGGGAATCTTGAAGTCTTTTCTTTTTATGCTGAGAGCTCCGGTTATGCTGGCTCTACACTACATAACCTTGCATTAGACTCATAAATATATTAGTGAGTAAAACTATATTGCTGAATTTAAGAGGAAGGAGCAGCCTATATGGCAATGCTATAGCAAAATGAAAGTATGAGAAAAGAGAAATTACAAAACATCTGTTCAGAATCTTTCCTGCAGAAAGATTTTCCAAAAAGTTCAAAGCCTACTTGTGACATAAAAGCAGGTCTATCCCAGTCATTGTCAACAACATAGTGGTTTCATCAATGGTCATTTTATTGCAATTAAAATACTTGCATTCCTGAAATCATGGACTCCCTAAAAAAACCTAACTTTTTCTTAGAAAAACAGCTGTTGCAGCTGTACAGGTATGAACCTTGGAAATATGAACCCTGTTAAAATGTAAAAACAAAATCAAATTTACTTAAATAACCAAAAAGTCAATTTTCTTCAGTTGTCTGGGGTCCTATCCATGATGCTTACAACTGCCAGTATCTGAATGCACCTTTACTAAGTGCACTCAGAGCATATAGTACATCTGCTCCCACCTCCCTGGGGCCAGTGTAGTGACACAAAGGAGTTAGAAGCAAATTATTTTCAAATATTTCTTTTAGCAGTTTTTAGTTTTAGTTTTACAGAAAACACAGGTCACATACCATTGCAGATTTTAAACCAGAAAAAGTAGAATAAGAAGGAAGTATTTAACCACCTTTCATGCCATTCATAAAGCTGTAGGAAGTCCAAAAGTAACCAGTCCTGGTGTTCCTTTGTGCAAAATACAGCAAAAAGTGCACGTATGACAGACCTGACACATCCCAGGCAGACCGTAGCTTTGGTACATCTAAAGGGCAACACATGTATTTAGCAGAGTAAGACCCTTCTGTGTAGCACATTTTTTTCTCATATAATTTTATGATAATACACAATACAGGAAAAATATTGACCAGAACTCAACTGATTTAGACAGATAAGGCAATGTAATGTTGTAAATGTTATTCTAGATAGAAACACTGCTCTCACAAATGCCTAAGACTGTATTTTTGTTCTCTAAAATCATAGTCTTCTTTACAGATCTCACCACACTTTGACAGCTAATTTACTTTGTTGATTTTTAGAAAAAAAAATGCAAGCATTAATGAGAAATAAAAGATCTGAATATGTTTCAGATATAATTGCTTTTTATATATAAAATGCATCTTAGAACCAAATATTTTACCAAAATTCATGCAACAATGCTACAGCTGGCAACATGAAAACAAAAAGTACCAGAGAGGTAGTGTATTGTAATGTTCCTTTTACACTAACACCAATCTGCATAGCATGAAATGAAATGGATATCCCCGATTTACCCTCAGCAACTCCCATAGCTGTCAAGGAGTGAGAGAGAGAGAGACCTGTAAGAATACAATAAAGCTACAAACAGCCCAAGTAGAAGATTCAGCTGATGAAGAAGCAGGGAAGATTCTTCATGAACTGCCCGACCTTCATCAACGGTAGTGTTATCTAAGGGCTGCATAATCAGTTATGCTGAATTATAGCTCTTTTTTGTATTAGTACTAGTTCAAATAAGGCCTCAAAATCAGAAAAACTACTTTCAATCCACCTTACATTCTCCATGGTGACAGGCCAACTCTATACTGAAACGAAGCCATGTCATCAATAGAAGAGAATACTCTACACTGTACCTGATTGTTTCCTTTACAGAAAATGAACACAGTAAAACTATTTTTCAAAGGAAAATATTTGCTGACCTGTGTTCACTGATCTTTCTAAAAGAATCTGATGCAAGACTACATTATTGCTAAGTAATTAAATTTCACATTATTTGGTTACATTATATCCCCATTTCTCAGCTCTCCTTAAAAACAAGGCCAGAACAATACAAAACTAGGAAAAGCAACATCACAAAAACTATTTATCTGCTTTTCTTTTGAATATTGAAACCAGTGATCATGCTATATTATTACAAGCTTCTGTGCTTGCCATTTCTGGGTATTGACTATTTGCCAAGTAGGGGAAAGATGCTAAATTTGGGGAAGTGTAATACTTGGTGGCAGGTATGCTAAAATTAGTGTTTCTAAGTTTCTGATTTATCTGACATTACCCACTGGACTTCTTAGGTGTAATGGACACCGTTGAAATACGAATACCATCTTCTTATTAGATGCAGTTACTTGATAAATTATTTAACAAAAAATAATCCTCTTTTTCTATAAATAAAAATATAGGTAGTATATATATTACACAAGAAGAAGTCAGCTTGTGAAACACTAGCCCAGTCGTCTGTATATATTAACCTTAGAATTTCCATGACTTAATTTTTGTGGAAATTTTTTAAAGGAAAATCTTAATCTGGACTTAAAAGATTACTAGTGTTGGAGAATCTATCATAAACATATCACAACCTTTGGTGAGTCACTGTTACTGAGAAATAGGCATGTTGTTTCTAGTGTGAACTGTGTGAATATAAGTTTTGATCTTCTGTCCTGCTGTGGTCTTCTGATATAGTACAGAAAAAAATATATATATATTTAATGACTGTGATCTTCCACTGATAATTGAATGGATTTCTTCAGTGAATGCCTTGCTTTTAAGTGGCATTCTGCTTCCCAAGTTCAGGTATAAGTCATATTAACATCTTACCTTTTTCATTACATGTCATTTCCCCTACCGGTATTTCTTCAAGTTGATTTAACTTGACAGTCTAAATTCTCAAAATCTCAGGTCCTTTTAGATTAAAAAGTATTTATTTATTAAACAAAAATGTGTAAAACTAAATATCTGAAACCCCAAAGTATATAACTATGCATAAACATATTATTAAAAAAGAAGCAAAACAACTTTATCTGCTATCCAGAAAATTCTTTCTTATGCAACTTCAAAATTTCCAATTACATGAATATCCACAAAATCTCATAGTTTTGAACTATTAAAAGACCTTTTTCATTATTTTCCAGATTTTACTTGTTCAGAGGTATTTTTTTCCTTGAATGCTTACAAAATTCAACACGATGTTATAAGCCTCATTAACAAAGAAGTTTCAGACACCTTTTAACATAATTTATGATCACTTACATGTTTAGAATATATTTGGAAAAAAAGCAGCAGAATTTCCACTGATTCTATATAAAAAGTTATTGGAAATCATCTAAACTGAAAATCCATAGGAAGACAGCATGCTTGAAGAACCGAAAGTAAACACAAACAACTGTATGCCTGATGACCTTTTAAATATTGAAAATAACTGATAACTTGTTTGGTTTTAAGAACAGACAACATGCATTTTCAAAACTAACTCTCCCCTTCTTTCAAGACCATATCTTTTAAAAATCATTATGTTTCACTGTTTCAACTATCACATATTGTGTCTTGATCCTGCAAGCAACTTTGCACGTGTATACTTTATTACTAGGAATATTTGCCCTTAACAAGACTACATATAACTCAGTGCCTGTAGTGGTGGACTTGAAAATATATGCATTGACTTAAAAGGTGAAATATCATCTTATGAAGGCTGTACTATTCCTTATTTTATCAGTAGTTACTGGGAGCAGTTAGAACAAAAAATGAAGATTTCCATAATTAGTTTGAAGTGCTTCCATCAGTCTATGACTTCAATGTTTTCCATTTTAGTAGATAAAAATAGAATTATGCTGATATCCACTAGTGATTTAGAGACTTTGGATCTTCAGAGTTGAAGACTGAATAATACTTTTGTAGTGTAAGAAGGAGCAGAATCTGTAAGAGAAGAAATACATCTCAAATTTGAGCTATATAATCAGATACAAATAAATGGAGTCTTTGGCTAGAAACAGGTAGGTCTGTTTTTTTTTTCAAAGGTACTGCCCAAGCAATTTTGATCTGAGATGACATTTTTATGCTATGTTTCAGATATTCTGTTAGTCCATATTATACAGTACATACTTCCCTCTCAATCTGATTTTCAGGACATACTGTCAGCATAATCTATGTCACAAGAACTCAGAGGCAGGATATCCAAAGGAATTCATGATCCAAAAAGTTTCATAAAAAACACAAAGAAAAATTTCGCCTAGAAAGACAAGAAAACCTACCACATTCTCTGTTGTCCAAAAGGGTATAAAGCTGTCATACACTTGACACTGCCAACTGGGGCTTTCATGCAGCCTGGCAGTCATAACCTGCTGCTCTTGATTTTACAGGCACCTAAACTCCTTACATTTCATACATATCTATAAAGCCAAATTATGATCTCGGATTTTCTCCATTCCTTCTCTTCTCGTTTTCACCACTGTTGTTACTGTTATCAGAATTTGGAACTTTTTCTTTTATAGTAGATTTGACTTGAGAAGCAGATGGCTTAAATAATCAAATGTTAAGCTAAGAAACTAAAATTTACAGCCACAGCACAAAACCAGAAACAGTTGGATGTGCAGTCATGGGGTTTTAATATCTCCAAGAAAGGAGACCCTGCATGCTCACTGAGCAACTCAGTCCAGAGCTAGAGACACAAAACCACATTCTTCATCCTTTATATTTCTCTGCTACAGCACTGTAGCAGAGAAATACAAATACCACACAGGCCACTTGCACATAATGAAAGGAATGAAAAACTTCATAACCATATTCATGCCATAAAAGGACACGCTCTCAAAGGAAATTTACACAGACCCTACATGGGTATTTTTCCTTTCTCTCCTAATATTTCTGCTAAACAAGATTCAAAATTTTGCCGTATTTTGCCATATATTTAAGTGTAAACAACCACACATAACATATAACAGTAAAAGAAACCAAGGCATAAGCTTTCAGGCATTCTGTAGTGAAGACAAAAGCAATGATTTTACTACATTAATTTTTCCATGGTTGAACAATTATTGCATTGATACAGGTAATCAATTAAAGAGTGCTGTGTCAAGGCAAAGGGCATTTTATGTACACACAGGTGTTCCTTCAGGACAGGAAAAGTCTCTGCAGGAATTCAAAATCACTGAAGAGTAACTAATGCATATCCCAAGACAGGTAAGCAAGCCAGGAGAATATGATTAATCATTGTAATACATTATCACTAAATTAACATTAATGCATGTACAAGCACACTATTAGGTATGCATACATTTGTTCAATTTCGAGTGTTCTAGTAACAGCCCAAATCTTTAACAAAATGCATCTGAAATATTCACTTTCAGTTTTATTTAATACCATACAAGATATTTCACTTAAAGGCCTATTGTTGTACTCTGAAAAACTAACCCAATGTATGTCTGCATTTTATATCCAAGATATTTTATTGAAAGTAAATTTACTTGGAGCTGACACATACCTCTTTCCTTTAGGTCTTCAATATAGGCTTTCATAAATTCTTTCTCAAATTGCTCCCGTTCACGTTCACTTTCTATAATTTCTTCAGTGTCTTCACAAACAATAGTTTCAACAGGGCTATCTTTGAGACTTACAAATCTGTAGAGAAAAATATTAACACTCATACATAAACAAACAGGCTTCTGAACATCGCCGGTCAACATGAATGTCACTTCAGAATTTGTTCCAGCAACCAAAAGGGGAAATTTAAGGAACATGTGCTTAATTTTTGTATTATAGATTCCTTAGGAGCTATTATTAATCCCATAAATATTTCAGATAGTGCCTTCTCTGTACTCCACTCCAGACAAAAATTATCAGACTTGTCTCTTTCCATAAGTCTCTGTACATTAATTGTTCTTTGCAATAGTATGTATATTTCTTCATTACAGATTTTTGATAAACGATTCTAATTCTACATTGGCTAATGATTACTATGAGCATCATCATAACAACATTGCCCAGTAATATGGAAATTTTATCAGTATCACTTAGCTGATTATATATGTCTCAATGTTTTTGTTATGTTACCTCTCTATTACAAAGGAGGTTTTGGTGCACATTATGTCATGTTTCTAAATTGCCTAAAGTTACATCTTGTGAATAAAAAGCTAACAGCTATGCAAGCAAGTCATACAGTGTGGAAACTAAGTGTACAGAATTCTAATTAGAGAATTCTAATTACAAAATTCTAATTAGAGAGCTAACTTCGACCTCTTGAAGGAGCTCCTCAGAGGAACTGCCTGAGCAAGGGTCCTGGAAGGAAAGGGGGCCCAGGAGAATTGGCTAATATTCAAACACCACTTTCTCAGGATCGGTGCATTCCTGTAAGAAAGAAGTTGAGCAAGGCGGGCAGGAGACCTGCGTGGATGGGCAAGGAGCTGTTGGGTAAACTTAATGAGAAAAAGAGCATGTACATAATGTAGAAGAAGGGTCAGGCCACATGGAAAGAATATAGGAACATTGTGAGAGAATACAGGGATGCAACAAGGACGGCCAAGGCCTGTTTGCAATTAGAGTTAGCAAGAGATGTCAGGGACAAAGGGAAGGACTTCTATAAATACATCAGCAGCAAGAGGAAGACTAGGGAAAATGTTAGTCCGCTGCTGAATGGGGAAGGTGCCTTGGTGACAGAGGATGCAGAGAAGGCAGAGTTACTGAATGCCTCCTTTGCTTCTGTCTTTATTGCTAAGGCTAGTCCCCAGAGACAAGAGAGATAATCAGGAGAGACGAGGACTTTCACCTGGTTGAGGAGGATTGGGTTAGGGATTATCTAGGCAAACTGGACACCCATAAATCTATCAGCACAGATGAGATTCACTCAGGAGTGCTGAGGGAAGGTCAGCAGGCCAGTCAGCCTCACCTCCATTCCTGGAAAGGTGATGGAACAGCTCATCCTAATGACCATCTCTAGGTATGTGAAGGAAAAGAAGATGGTCAGGAGTGGTCAGCATGGATTCACCAATTAAAAGCCACGTTTGACAAACATGATAGTCTTCTATGATGAGGTGACTGGCTGGATGGATGATGGGAGACCTGTGAATGTTGTCTACTTTGATTTCAGCAAGGCTTTCAACACAGTCTCCCATAACATCCTCATAGGAAAGCTCCAGAAGTGTGGACTAGACGAGTACACAGTGAGGTGGATTGAGAACTGGCTGGATGGCAGAGCCCAGAGGGTGGTGATTAATGGGGTTGAGTCTAGCTGGAGGCCTGTGGCCAGTGGTGCCCCACAAGGGTCAGTACTGGGCCCAGTGCTGTTCAGCTTGTTCATCAATGACTTGACGAGGGCACAGAGGGCACCCTCAGCAAGTTTGCAGATGACACCAAATGTGGACACCAACACTCCCAAGGGCTGTGCTGCCCTTCAGAGAGACCTAGACAGGATGAAGAGCTGGGCAGAGAGGAACCTCATGAGGTTCAACAGGGACAAGTGCAGGATCCTGCACCTGGGGAGGAATAATCCCAGGGACCAGTATGCATTAGGGGCTGACCTCCTGGAAAGCTGCTCCATGGAGAGGGATTTGGGAGTCCTGGTTGACAACAAGTTAAGCATGAGGCAGCAATGTGTCCTTGTGGCCAAGAAGGCCAATGGGATCCTGACCTGCATAAGGAGCACTGTTACCAGCAGGTCAAGGGAGGTGATCCTGCCCCTCTACTCCACTCTGGTGAGGCCACACCTGGAGTATTGGGGGCAGTTCTGGGGTCCTCAGGAAAAGAAGGACATGGAGCTTCTAGAAAGGGTCCAGCATAAAGCGACAAAAATGATTAAGGGACTGGAGCATCTATGGTATGAGGAAAGACTAAGTGAGCTGGGCCTGTTTAGCCTGGAGAAAAGAAGATTGAGACGAGATCTGATCAACACGTACAAGTACCTGCAGGGTGAATGTGGGGAGGATGGGGCTAGGCTCTTCTCCGCAGTGGCCAGTGACAGGACAAGAGGTAATGGGTACAAGTTGAAACACAGAAAGTTCCACCTCCATGTGAGGAAGAACTTTCCTGTGAGGGTGACAGAGCCCTGGACCAGGCTGCCCAGAGAGGTTGTGGAGTCTCCTTCTCTGGAGATCTTCACAACCCACCTGGATGCCACCCTGTGCCACGTGCTCTGGGTGTCCCTGCTGGAGCTGGGGGGTTGGACTAGACGATCTCTAGAGGTCCCTTCCAACCTTAACTATCCTGTGATTCTGTGATTCTATAAAAAAAAAAAAAAAAAAAAACTCTGGGGGCATTATCACTCTAAAGAGAAAAAAAAATCAATAAAATGATTGTTACTTCCAAAAGGAAAATTGAGACAATTAATTACATGTCTTGTTAAATCTTATGAATTGCTGTCAGTTCCAAGTGGTTTCATACCAGACCTGAGTACCACCTGCAGAAGCGTAGGACTGTTGTAATTACAGACAAAAAGGCCCTTCACTGTTCCCCTACAAGCAGCAAAACCCCGTTCCATTGCAGAGAACACATGAATCACTAAACTTATGAGACATATATATGTGAGATGTTGAAGCTTCTCTATCACCTCTCTAGTGGCCCCCAGATACCATAGAAACAGCTGTTTGTGAAACTACTTCTCCTTCCCAGAACTACCTCTTAACATTAATTTCTCCTTTACTTTTACTTACTTTAAACCAGTGGTTGACTCACAAATGGCTGTGGGTATTTCAACCAAGTCATCACCACTGACAACTAATAAATTGAGTTTTGGCATATTGACCAGGGCTCGGGGAAGATAAGTCAACTTGTTTTTCTGTAGGAGAAGTGTCTGCAGTTGATCTAACCTATAAAAGTATAAAAGATAAAGATAGCTTAAAGTGTTTATTTCAGTCAGGAGAACCCACTTGAAATAGCAAAGCACTTAATCTTGCAGACAAAAACAGCAACCTGCCCCATTCTTGGTTTCACCAAAATGTATCCTACCACACTCTCACAAACATTTTCATCATCATTAATTGACACTTTTCAGTCATGATTCAATTAATGTCTATGATGATAGGTGTTAATAGCCTCCCTGCTATGAGAGCTCAGAAGAACACCCAAGGCAAGAGATTAAAAAATAGTTCATACAGAAGATGTTGACACAATATAATGTAAAGCTTCACCTTGGGTATATCAGAAACTAATGAAAAACTTGGTCACCAGATTACAATTTTGCCCAATGGCTGTTTTCTATGTGTTAGATACGTTGCTCTTGGACAGTATATTCCCATCTTTTTTTTTCACTAGTAATTAGCACTGTAGGGAGTATAAAAAAAGAATAAATCCTGGTGACATTTCTTTCATAAGTTGTTCCATAAAAAACAATTTAATGATAAAGTTTTGTGGAAGAAAGTGTTGGGATGCTTTTAAGTTTGTTTACCCAGACTTCTCCTAATGGAATGGTAAGTTGTGCCTGAGCATTTATTCCTTGGCATGTATAGTAGATAAAAGCATATCAAACTGAAGAAAAAAAAATTGTCTTGTTCAACCAGAAGCGTATATGCAGATTATTGCTTAGCAGAACCATATATTATTTTTTGAATCCAGAAAGAGAAAATAAGCGAGGATTTAGCTCACTGCCAATGTTTTTATTATGTACATTTTATTACTAATGTTATCTCAGACTTCATTGTAATGATTGAAATTCTTCAATACGTCAGGCATCATGAGGCCAAACGTGAATCTCAATTTGGACAGCAGGTGGAAACCTGACATTTCCTAGTCTTCAGAGCACACTTGAGTGCCAGAACCTTCAGAATTCAGGAACCAAAAGATTAAAAAAAAAAAAAATTGTGAGCTTTCACTATGATGTTTTAATGTAGAAAATGAATACCCTAGAGATAAAAGAAACTTACAGAGGTTACAGGTTATATGGCAAAAAGTACCTCTAAATAGAACATGTAGCTTTTCACAAAGCAAAAATATTCTCTTAAAACTCTTTTAAATTAATTAAATCTTTATTCAAACTTTCTGGGAAAAAAAAGTTGTCAACCTGACTAGAACGCTTGAATTACTAATGCAAATTAAGAACAAATTAAGACTTTATTTCTGCTATCAGAGATATCTGTGATTATAAGATTTCCTATGGAAATCCCATTGCCCAGTCACAAAGGTCTTAAGAATTTGAATAATGGGTAAGGTTCCTGTGTATTCCCTTTCACCTCAGAGGTAACTATTCTCAGATCAATAGACGATCCTTTTTACTTGTTTGTTTTTATAAACACTGGTTAATAAATGTTTTGGCTTACTTATAGCTAAAATTTAGTAAACCAACTTATAGGAGGAATTCAGAGAGAGTAAATAGGTCTAGGATAATAAAGATGCTTTCCGAGGCCAGCAACTCTCTTTAAAGCGGATGGACTATTTGAAACTAATCCTAGTAGATATCTAAATAAAGAGTACATATGTGCATACATACCTCTGCATGGGACAGGAGGATTGCAAATGTTTCTTTTAATCTTATCAATGTTTTTTGGCTTCAGTGCCAAAGGTTATCAGGATTTTTCAGTAGCTTAAATGTGCTTTAGTTTACACTTCCCTCTATCTATCTCATCTACACATCTAGATCACTCCAGAGGTGTGCTACTGACAATTCGGTATGGCAAGTTCCCTCTACTTAAGCTGGGGAACAAATTTGGCTCAGGTACTTCCTAAGGAGCACTACCTGGATATGAAGACATGAACCAGAAAATGTAATTAGTTAACTGCACAGTTGAGGCAGCGACTGCACAATTAAATGGAAAACGTAGGGTTTATTCTCCAACTTATTCCAGCAGTAACAATGGTAGAGTTTACTTGCAAAACATTTCTGGAAGAGTTTTTTTTTCACGTGACTTTTCATTAACTGCATGCCTTTGAAGCTTGTTGCTTTCTGAGTTATCTTGCTAGTTCATGAGCATATACATGAATTAAAATGTAAACTACCTGTCTATGTCTTGTGGAAGATCTTTCAGGTTGTTGCTGCTCATATCCAACCACTGCAAATTAGGCATCCGGAGTACACAAATTGGAATAGAAGGGAACTTGTTTGCTGACACATCCACAACTGTGACTTGCTTCAGGTTGCTTAACTAAAAAGAAGCAATGCTTATTTTAGTTACATTTTGCCACCACAAGAAAATGTTCCATTCTTCAAACATTATTTTCCTCTCACACCACTTAAAAAAAAAAATAAGAGATGCATCCTTTTCCTGCTCAGCTTTGGGCCAGCGTTGTCTCAGTCATCATTTTATAGGGGGAGAGATTTCAAAAATAACTACCTAAGCATTTTCTTATTACCTTTCTAACACCACCAAAGAGATGTTGAAAAGTTGATATTGAATGAGGTCCTCATTCTCATCCTCTCATTCAGAAGACACCAAGATTGGAACCAGCCAATGGCTCACTTCTTCCTGGGTAATATCTGAACTAAGTCCCAAAGTGACAAAGCATAGTTTTGATAATCAAGAGATGCTCAGTTACTATTCTCCAAAACAGTCATTTTATGACTCCTATCAAAAATGCGTATATTTTCTTTGCTATAACCTTGCATTACGAACTGAGAACATATTGCTCAGTGATCCTTACAAAATGAAACTGCCCAATTAAGCCAATGGAAAATTTGGTTCAATATATTTCAAAGTAAAGGATTTTAAAAATACATCTGCCATACTCCAGGTATGGAATATAACAGCTTTTTATTTGAATATTTCTAAAAGGAAGTACATTTTTAAGCAATAAACCTTTAGTGCAATAAAGGTTAACTACAAATTTAAAATATACCTGTTAAAAAAATAATTATGTTACAGCTCTGTATACCAAATCAATTATTCACACTACCAGTGTTCATTAAACCATGCAGCTAGCTAAAGTGGTTGTCAAAGGAGCAAAAATGTTAATAAAAAAGTACTTTAATATGAAAATGATGTCTTTGAATTTCCAATCATATGTAAGCATCAAAATCTATCTCTATGGTTCCTGATACTGAATACAAATTAGCAAAAAAATTCATTGGTCATTGACCTAAGTTTTTTGAGAATGCAGAGAATAATTGGGAACCAAAACTCCAAAGCTAATATATTTTCAGCTTCCCAAGTGAGCAAAATACAAACAACAGTAAAAATTACAGAAAACAAAGTTCAAAATGTCAGAAGGTAAGTTTTGAATCTTTGAGAGGATTTATTTTAGAATAAATTTCTTTTCTGTTATATTTTATGGCTAAACTTTAGTTTATTGCAATGCTGACAGAATTTCATCTGCAATATTTAATTTGACCCTTGTCTTTTAAAACGCTCCAATTTGCAGCTTAGTGATGTGTCAAGGCCCTTTCTTCTTTTCAGATTACCTCATATTGCTGCCAGATGTTAGAATTTGGGGAAATGTGTTCAGAGGGATTTATTGAAGCTATTGTACTGCAAAAGACTATGCAATTAAGTTTGTCTTTCATAAACATAATAGAGGTGAGAGTCTCTCAAGTAAAAGATATGTTGAAATATGCCCAGTGCTGCATAAAGCCTCTTTGGTGAGGCATGACTGCAGAAGTCTCTCACTCCTGATTTAAAACAGGCAAGCAAACTTTTTACAGTGCCACTTCTCACTTCCAAAACATTTCATCATTTGGTGACTGACTAGTAACAATGAACAGTCACAATCCTGCTTTGTAGATTTCCCAGATACTGAATCTTTCTCCAGCAAAATAGAACCTCCCACTGCACATGGAGAGCAGAGGGACTACATTGGGTAAGAGAAATAAGAGAATGCAGAAAACACTTGCCATTGTATTTACATAAAATAACTTATTTTCACAAGTCCAAAATCCCAAGAAAATATTTCAAATTTCTATGCACTCAAGCAATTTGCTAAACTCCCAATGTATTTATACCAGAGGAAGAACAAATATTGTTCCAAAAGGATTCAGAAAGCACAGAATTAAAACAACGTCCCTGGTGTTTAGTTGACACCCAAAAGGTTCCCAAACCATGTCCAAAGAAAAAATAGAGTCTCTAACCACCAAGAGACCACATAGAATACTGACATCACAGTTCACCTGCCTTTCTAAAACCTGTTTTCCCAGTCTCTCACCTGTCACATTGGAGCAACTATGTAACATTAACACTAGGTGGCAAAAATACATTTTTTTTTCCAACAGCAGGAACTTATTTTATGTTTTTCTGAATGCACTTTGATATGTTAAATATTAAAGAGAGCATCAATATAGCAATATTTTATGCCATTTTTCAAGTCCTGAAAAGAGATTGTTTTAATATTGATTAGGTGAAAAACTACATTTTTTTAGAAACTTCTACTCCTATGAAAATACACCAAAGAAAACATAAGGTGATAGACTGTCTTGAAACAAAACTTGCTTCTGTATGCCACAGAATATATGGAACCATGATTATATTCCATAGACTGCAAGTCCTCAGAGCTTGTTCTTTTAAGGTAATATTTAAAAAGTCTGTCTATTTTCTGTACTAGATTGCAATCAAATAGAGTTTTTATTCAATCTATCTCTGAAATGCTACCAACAAACTGCTGTGATATATGGCGCATTGGAAATTATGACACCTATATTTCCCAGAGAAATCCCTGTATATTTTACTTGCTTTTGAAGGGCTGATGGATTTTTGTACCTCTTACAACATTTCATTTTGATCAAGCATGACTCCCTTATCTTTTTTACCTAAGCATTTATTTTCACTTGATGTTGATTTTAGCTATTTTCCATATTATCTGACTTTGTATCCATCAGTATATAGTCATTATGCAAGTTTCATTGTAACAAATAGCTACACTTGCCAGGTTAGCTACCTGGACACACTTATTGTGGTCCTTATGTTTAATGGCTACTGTCAACTTTATATGACAATCTACTCTTTTTTGCCTATCTTAATAATTTTAGTCATAGAAATAATCCAGATTATTAATGGGCGTTTTTTTTTTTCCCTTTTTTTTTTTTTTTTTTTTGCCATGAAAGGTACATACTGATAAGTTTGCATGCAAGTTTATCATGAGTTGCCTACTGCTTAGGATTAACAAATGAAAGGTTGTAAAGTCATGTCTAAGCTTTTATACAAAGTTTCTGTTTTTTTTCAACTACATTTTAAACACGCTGTGAAAGAAACAGCATCTAACTGAAGTCGATGACAAGACAGACAGAATGAATCAAGAAATGTCTATTAGTATGTTACCAACCTTCTTTTGCCCAGAAATTTCACTCTAATTGAAATCAAGGGAAATTTGTACCACCTCAGTAGTTATAACACATTTTAACCCCCAAAACATGGAGCCACACAGTACCCCAGGAGCTTGTGAAAACATTACAGGCTATTTGACAGAAAAGGCAGCCTAAAAATGAACTTAACAGCTGTCTCCTTAGATTTTGAATGTTCAAAGCAAATCCCCAGCTTTTCATTCACAAAGCTGATCTACTCTAATTTTATTAATATTCCATTATCATTAAGAGAAAGGTTACAAGGGAGCTTTTGGGTGATCCTTCTTAAAATAAAGATGTATATTTGGAGTCCAATCCACTAGCAGACTGCCAAAATAGATTCCTAACCTTGAGGGGGTAAAGGCATTTCATCCCCCGCTTTCAGTAACCAGATGTTATTTTACGCATTTATGACATAAAACTTTTCCAGCATAAAACTGCAACTTCACACATCACTTGTCTTAGCACTATAACTTAAGTCCATACAATATATGTGGAAGCAAGTTTTCTCCCAAACTACATTTTTCTGATTTTGTAATGATCAATCCACAGTCACTGTTATTTTGATGCTAGACTGTTTATTTGCTAGCTTAACTTTTACCTCTGGAGCACTACCATTACTTAAACATCTAATTGTTAGGTTCATAGAAAGTAAAAGGAAATTCATAGAAAGTAAAAATGTCATCTCCTCAGGACTACCAAAAATGGGAAAACTGGTTGCACATACAATATTCACAAAGATATCAGGCATGGATCATTCATACATGACTGAAGAACCACACAGCAGTAAGAGCTGAAGACTATTCTTTATAAATTCCCTGAGAAACTGGATCATGTGTATACATTTAAGTATAGGAGTTCTCTCAGGCCAATAGACGAGTCACGGACGTGAAATTATGCACTTGATTAATGATTTGCTGGGTTCGAGCCATAACAAGCCTGCTTTCTCAAAAAATAAATTTATGTTGATTAGACTTATATTAAATTTTCATAGTACTACTACTGCAGCTACACACAGTCTGCATACATTATTATGCGTACACTTTGCCATCATAAAGTCATCTCTTTTCCAAAACTCCAAACCTTGAAAATTAAGAACACACATTAAGAGAGAAAACTAGGCTCTGCTGAAGCATACTCTTTTAGAAAGCATTTTCTGGGTATCAAAAAGGCCTCCTTTGTAATATATTCTGTTCCATGCCAAGAGATAACAAAAATAGCTCACTTATACAAAAGAGCAGAGACAAAGCATCTTTTTTTTTCATTTCCCCTCCAAGCTGTAACAGTAACCTAAGGAGAGATGCTATTGAAATTGTGAAGATCCTATCATAGAATCACTGAATCACAAAATCATTAAGGTTGGAAGAGACCTTTGGAGATCATCTAGTGCAACCCCCTTGCAAACTTGGGGGTCACCTAGAGCATGCGGCACTGGCTCACGTCCAAGTGGGTTTTGAAGATCTCCGGAGAGGGAGACTCCACAACCTCTCTTGGCAACCTCTCTTGGCAGCCTGTTCCAATGCTCTGTCATCCTCACTGTCAAGAAATTTTTCCTTAAGTTCCTGTGAAACTTTTGGTGTTTCAATTTGTGGCAGTTTCCTCTTGGCCTATTGGTGGCCACCACTGAAAAGACGCCAGCACCATCCTCCTCACTCCTTCCCTTAAGATATTTATATGCACTGATCAGATCTCCTCTCAGCCTTCTCTTCCTCAGGCTGAACAGACCCAGCTCTCTCAGCCTTTCCTCACAGTGCAGATGTTCCAGGCCCCTGATCATCTTGTAGCCCTAAAATCATGAATTAAACAAACACATCAATCCTGTTTTTTCATTACAATACTGAAGCCTATATACTGCAGCCTATGAAGGTGTCATTCTAA